TTCAGGGCAGTATCCTTGATGAGTATAAAAGCAAAAATCTTCAACACAATACTAGCAAACTGAATCTAGCAGCACCTCAGAAAAGCTAATCCACCACAATCAAGTAAGCTGTATCCCTGGAATGTAAGATTGATTCAACATATGTAAATCAATAAGAATTATTCACCACATAACAAAACTAAAAACAACAATCACATGATCATCTCAATAGATGCAGAAAAGACTTTCAAGAAAATACAGCACCACTTCATGTTAAAAATCCTCAACGAACTAGGCACTGAAGGAACATACTTTAAAATATTAATAGCCAGTTATGACAAACCCGCAGCCAACATCTTACTGAATAGGAAAAAAGCTGGAAGCATTCTCCTTAAGAACCAGAACAGGACAAGGATGCCCCTCTCTCACCACTCCTATTCAACACAGTACTAAAACTCCTAGCCAGAGCCCTCAAGCAAGAAAAACAAATAAAAGGCATCCACGACATCTTCTATTCCTGTTTTCCTATGATTTCTACCTAGAAAACACCCATAGTCCTCTGCCCAAAAGCTCCTTGATCTGATAAACAACTCCAGCAAAGTTTCAGGATATAAAATCAATGTGCAAAAATTAGTAGCATTTCTACGCACCAACAACATCCAAGCTGAGAACCAAAGCAAGAATGCAGTCCCCATTCGCAATAGCCATAAAATGAACAAATACCTAGGAATACAGCTAACCCAGGGATGAAAGACCTCTACAATGAGAATACAAAACACTGCTCAAAGAATATAGAGATGACACAAACAAATGGAAAACTATTTTATGTTTATGGATCAGAGAATCAATATTGTCAAAATGGCCATATATATCAAAAGCAATTTACAGATTCAATGCTATTCTTATCAAACTACCAATGATGTTCTTCACAGAACTAGAAAAAAAATATTTTAAAATTCATATGGAACCAAAAAAGAGCCTGAATAGCCAAGGCAATCCAAAGCAAGTAGAACAAAGCTGAAGGCATCATGTTACCTGACTTGAAACTATACTATAAAGCTATAATGCCCAAACAGCATGCTTCTGGTATGAAAACAGATAGAGCAATGGAACAGAATAGGGAGCCCAGAAAGAATTTCACGCAGCTATGACCATCTGATCTTTGACAAAATTAACAGAAACAAGCAATCTGGAAAGGATTTCCTATTCAATAATTGGTGCTGGGATAGCTGGCTAGCCATATGCAGATAATTGAAACTGGGCCCCTTCTTTGCACCATATACAAAAATTAACTCCAAATGGATTAAAGACTTAAATTTAAAACCCAAAACTATAAAAACCCTTGAAGAAAATCTAGGAACTACAATTCTAGACATAGGTCCTGGCAAAGATTTTATGACAGAGACACAAAAAGCAACTGCAACAAAAACAAAAATTGACAAATGGGACCTAATTAAACTAAAGAGCTCCTGCACAGAAAAACAGCAAAAGAAACTATCAACAAAGTGAATAGACAACCCAAAGAATGGAGAAAATATTTGCAAACAATGTATCTGACAAAGGTATAATATCCAGTATCTATAAGAAACTTAAATGTACAAGCAAAAAACAAGCAACCCCACTAAAGAGTGGGCAAAGGACGTGAACAGACACTTTTCAAAAGAAGACATATACATGAGCAGTAAGCATATGAAAAAAATGCTCAGCATCACTTATCATTAGGGAAATATGAATCAAAACTAAATGAGATACCATCTCACACCAGTCAGAATGGCTATTATTAAAAAATCAAAAAATAAGAGATGCTGGCGAGGTTGTGGAGAAAAGGGAACACTTACAAACTTCTGATGGAAGTGTCCAGCCATTGTGGAAAGCAGTATGGTGATTTCTCAAAGAAAGAAAAGCAGAATTGCCATGCAACTCAGCAATCTCATTATTGGGTATATACACAAAGGAATATAAATTGTTCTACCATAAAGACACATGCACATGTATGTTCATGGCAGCACTCTTCACAATAGCAAAGATGTGGAATCAACCTGAATGACCATCAGCAGTAGACTGGATAAAGAAAATGTACATACATGTCATGGAATACTATGCAGCCATAAAAAGAATGAGATTATGTCCTTTGCAGCAACATGGATGGAGCTGGAGGCTGTAATCACAAGCAAACTAATCCAGGAATAGAAAACCAAATGCTGTATCTTCTCACTTATAAGTGGTAAATACACATTGAATACATATGAACACAAAGAGAGGAACAACAGACACCAGGGCCTACTTGTAAGTGGAGGGTGGGAGGAGGGTGAAGATCAAAAAACTACTTATTGGGTACTATGTTTATTACCTGGGTGATGAAATAATATATACACCAAACCCCTGTGACACACAATTTATCTATAGGACCAACCTGCACGTGTACCCCTGAAACTAAAAGTTTAAAAAAAGACTTTGAGCCCTGTTTCTCTCAGTACTCTTCATGTCATGGCCATTTTAGGAAAAAATATAAAATTTTAGTTAACTCTTTATCTTAAACTATATGCCAAAATCTATACCAGATTAATTGTAGATTTAAAAATAAAAACGAAACCTTAAAAGAACTAGAAAAATGTAAAGAGTTACCTATAATATCACATTAGGGAAGGCCTCAGTAAGCATGACACTGATGGCAGTAACCATAAACGAAAGATTGTTAGGTTTAACTACATGTAAGGAAAGCTTTTCACACCCTTTGACCCAACAGTGTCACTTCTAATGACACATCCTTTAAAAACCTTTGTACAAGTGTATAAAAATGTGTATATGTAAAAACATTAACTACAGCACTGTTTATAATAGTGAAAAACTAGACCAAATATAAATATGTATCAAAGATGATTAAACAGTGTTGCATCCATATTAAAAATTGCAATGTAAAAAATGTAGTTATTGACATAAAAAGGTTATAAAATGACATTTTTAATCCCATCCCATTTTGTAAAAATACATATTTATACACATAGAAGATTTCTAGATGTGCATAAAATGTTAGTAGTGGTTATTTGGGCACTTTAATAAGTTCTTTTTCCTTTTGCTCCTCTTTTTTATGTATATATGTATGTATGCATGCATTTGTGTATGTGTAAGGAATAAGTATGTCTTGTATAAAAATAATAGAAGCTTAAAAAGGTTCAAAAATTTCCCTTTCTCTCTTTTCACATGTGGATTTAGGTCAGACCTTCTCCAGGAAGCTTTTTGTTCCCGTTAAGTGGCCAGTATAATTCTGAAGCCACCTTCTCATCTTTTGTATTTCCTTATTCAACTGTCAGTTCTTGAAGATAGAGTTGTGAGTTGTGTTTCATTATTTACTGCCTTCCATACACATGCTTAGTAAGGACTGGTCGGCTGGTGATGGTCTGATTTCGTCAAAGCCTGCTTTGAAGTCTGATATAACAGTGCTTACCCTTAACCAGCTGAAATGGTCAAAAACTTGGTCTGGGCTAGCAAACCTTTACAAAGAGGGTAGAGTGGCTATAATGGCTGTCTTCCTACTATTCTCCTAGGCTATGGTGGCTGGCTGGCTGATGGGGCTGAGCCCTTTCTGTATAAATCTTTCCCCAAACAGCTTTGGTGTTTTAAAAAACAAAAAGTGTTTCTCAGGTTGAGTTGCTGCCTCTTATCATTAGTGTCTGTGCAGTTGTGCTCTCTTCCCAGAACTTCCAAACACATTCTCAAGAACTCACAATGCTTTTTTTAAAAAATGCATAAAGGATGGATAACAAAGAAAGAAGACAAAGAACTGGGAGGAGAGGAAGGGGGAAGAGAGAAGGAAAAGAGAACAGAGACTCATGACCTTAAGCACGGCATGTTGCTCCAATCTAAAACATCTGCTGGACATTACAATATCTACCATTGCACATGAAATTACTTTACCAGAAAAGTCTACACAGACGCTGGTTTTTCAAACAACCTGTGAAAGCTCTGATGGCCACTCTGGCAGCCCTCCAGGTTAGAGACTTACTGATCTCTAATAGGGCCTGCTCTTATAGTTAGAGATCATTCCAGGTTTGTTGCAAGTATCAAATGAGATGATAGATGGAAATATGTTTTATAAACTATAAAATAATACTGAAATGCTTGGTGTTGATTTGTAAGCTCTTGAGGGCACTGACAGTGGTTTAATGTATAACTGTGTCTTCGTGGCAGTTTGGAACAGATTGTAAATACCTGTATCTAAAAATTAAAGTCAAATCTGTATACAGAATGAAGAGAATAGAAGGGGGAAAAAATGATGGTCTGGGAGAGACCTAAACTGTGTATATCTGGAGAGTTGTGGTCACCTAACTATATTAGAAACACGTGGGTTTTCTGAGTGCTCACAATTGATTAGAATTAATTTCCTTAGAAGTAATTCTCAAGGAAGTGCTTGTGATTCCACTGGCAATGAATGGTTTGAGATGTCTTTAAAGTGTCCATTAACTTATGGTAATTACAATGGGAATGCATGTGGCCCTCACAAGTATCTTATGGTCAAACTTTTAATAAGTAACAAATTAAATCATAATAAGGAAGTGACTTAAAAGTTAATCAAACTGCTGCTCTGCTCTTTCCATGAAAATGACCCTTTGTTCCTTCCAGGTTCAACACATGAGACTTCATATCAGATCCTCACCTGAATGCATGACTCTTCAACCTCAGGACTTGCAGAATTAGTGGAATGCCGTCCTAAGGTTGTTGAGTTGTGCATTTGTGGGCATTTCATCTCTATGGAGAAGTACCCATTCCCTCACCCCAAAGACTGAGGTAGAAAGATTTTTCTCCCTAGGGAAGAATCTTCCTTGAAACTTTTGTGGCCTCAAGAGTCAGAAGACAGACTGAGGAGGTTTGATAGTTGGATTGTTGCCAAAAGCCTGACCCTTGGCTGTGAGAATCCCTCAAATTTGCAGTGTCTTGGGGATCCCTCCTAGTGATTGTCTTAGAAAATAAACATTTTCTGTTAATTTCCAACAACTTAATTATCTATTTTCTTTTTCTTATAGGTCCAGTTAAAAACAAGAAAAAAGGTAAGTTAAGTTCCTGACTTAATAAATTGGTGTCTTGTCATGTCTTTTCTATTATAAGAAAAAAAATTAAGAATACGATTTTTGTATTACATTCTTTCAGCATCATCTATTATTTTATTCAATCATAAGTGATCTTCTTGAGTATTGTATTCTCTGAAGAACAAGAAATCATTCTTCAGTGATGATTCATCTCTTTTTTCATTCTTCCTTACTCTTCTCCCTGTCCTTCTTTTATCTTTTTTTTCTTTTTTTCCTTTTTTTTTTTCTTTGAGATGGAGTTTTGCTCTTGTTGCCCAGACTGGACTGCAATGATGCAATCTTGGCTCACTGATACCTCCGCCTCCAGGGTTCAAGCAATTCTCTTGCCTCAGGCTCCCAAGTAGCTGGGATTATGGGCACCCGCTTTTATCCTTTTTTTCCCTCCTTTATCAAATCATTGATCAGGTATGAATGAAATCCTGAGTCACCATGTAGGAACTAGATATGCTACCTATCAAAAGATGTCAGCACCCTATTTCTTGGACTTAAAGCTTTCCTGTTGATTTCCCAAAGAGTAAGGGAAGGTATTTCTTGCTTTGAGGATTCTATATCATTTTCTCTGTAATGAAAAAACTATTTTGGAGTATTACTATTTAGTCTTTTCAAAGCAGCTTCCATTGTACCATTGTTGAGTCATTAAGTCCCTAGTGTACTTGCAACGAAACCAGCTCTAAGGCTTGTGAAAGTGCTCACTTACTAAAGGAGGAGAGTAAATCCAAAGACAGAACAGCCTCCAAAGACAGGGCCAGGCAATATGGTCTACTCCTTAGGACTTAAAGAACCAATTATGAAGTTAGCTAAAGTACCTATTTGTTTCTGACCTGGGAGGAAGACAGAGTAAAACTAATGATTTTTCATTACAATGCTTTAAGTGAAATTATTCTGTGTGATAAGATTTATGGAGCTTTATAGAATGGATTGTCAACCTCACACTAGGTCAAAAAGACTGGCTTCAGCTCCAGTCTGCCACTTGTTTGAACACTAGGGTACTCTGGTGCCTTGAGGTATCATAGTCCACATGGAAAACTTGCGTGCCCTTTGTAAAGAAGCTGAGGAATGGCCTGGCCTCCTGAGGGCCTGAATTGAGCAAGGTTGAAAAACAGCCAGGGAGCTGGAGTCATTGCGGAAACCTTTCTCTCTGGGCACTTACCACCAAGATATTCTGTCTCTTAAGAAAGTAGATTTGATTTTCAAGCATATAGTCCTTTTTTTTATTTTTGAGATGGAGTTTCCCTCTTGTTACCCAGGCTGGAGTGCAATGGCGCGATCTCAGCTCACTCCGCCTCCTGGGTTCAGGCAATTCTCCTGCCTCAGCCTCCTGAGTAGCTGGGATTACAGGCACGCACCACCGTGCCCAGCTAATTTTTTGTATTTTTTAGTAGAGACGGGGTTTCATCATGTTGACCAGGATGGTCTCGATCTCTTGACCTCGTGATCCACCTGCCTCAGCCTCCCAAAGTGTCAAGCATATAGTTCTTAAGTCTTGTCACATCCCTTTAAAACAGATATTATAACTCAGATCATTGCCTGGCACTGCTACCTTGTGTACAGGACATTATTGAGAAGAGAGTACACATAGGCCTTAAACATTTACTTTGGCTAAAGTTATTTGGAAGCCATTTAATATGGATTTCCTTAGACACAGTGAATAGGCACATGCCTGAAGAGGTAAATTGAATTGTTCACTTAATTTTTACCCTTTAATGGAATTCTTCCTTCCACAACTCACTCTCTCTCTCTCTGTCTCTCTCTCTCTCTCTCTCTCTCATTCACTCACTTTTGGTTGTTCTTTCATTTTGGACTTAGCTAAAAGGTTAAGGAAATACTCCTTTGATGAAGTTTAGCTTTGAAAGGAATGTGTATATTCTTTCATCTAACACTACATAGGGTAAGTTTCTAAGTACAAATGTCTCTGCACTTTTGTATCATGAGGTGCTCTGTTAAAGTAAGGAAATCCAGAGAAGGGAGTCAATCCTCTGAAGTTATCCTCTTGGTCCAGGGATCATTTTGTGCATTCCCTTCTCTGGGCCCAACTTCATATAAGTATGCAAGCATGAGAAGCACACTTGCCTAAACCTTGTTGCAGAGAAGCAGAGGACCAGCTGCAAAACTAAATAAAGCAGGAATTTTTTTCTCAAATGCCTCCTAACATTTTCTTAAGTGAACATTCTCTGTTTTCACTGCAACCATTAGGCTCTTGGACTGCAGGAGTTTCTGGCTGTAATTCTTCCAAAATTACGTTAGCAATTACAGGAGACTCACATTCTTGAAGCTGAAGTTTGTGCTACCACGGAACACCCTCTAGCTTGAAAATCACTGTTAGGCTTGGAAATACTGGGACACACGACAGCCTAATATGCACCAACCTCTGTCTATGCCACCTAGGAAATAAGGAGGGAGAAAGAAACCTTACAACCAGGGTAAGGAAGCTTCCTGACTGCAAGGAGTAAATCAGTCCTTTTTATGGAAACTCAGTCTCATGAGAAAGAGAAATCACTGAGGCCAAGCTCTTTGTTTCACAGATGTAGAAACTAAGGCTCAAGGAGAGGAAGGGATTTGCCCAAGTGTGTCTATGGCAGAGCTAGGGCTTTCATCCTTATCTCCTGAGTACAGATTCTGTGTTCTTTCCACTACACTAGCTGGAATTGAAACTTGGGCTCTGAATAAGCCTGATTTGGAAGCTGCCCAAATCTGAAGGGAGATGGTTTTCCTGTTCAGCATCTTGAAATTGGCTAGATCTAGAAATGAGGCAGATCCAATCTTTCACTGCTAAGTGCAGAGAAACCTCTAAAGTTCATGCCTCTAGGTCTTTAATGCTACAGGAACTCTTCTGAGAGAGATGTTCTCTGGGCCTTCCTTTCTTTCCTCTCTGAGGAAGAGGCTCCACGATGACCCCATTGTTTCTTTCCAAATGCAGATGTGGTTTGACATGGACAACTGGCCTCTTGAGTAGCACTGCCATGAGGATTTGGTTTCTTGGCCATGAGGCATTCTTCTTAAAAGAGGGCATGATAAACCAGGACAGGATCCTCCTGCCTAAGGGTCCAGGGAGCAGGAAGTCAGAGTCAGTAAGAAGATTTTTAAGTGAAACTAGAGAAGGTTGTATTTCAAACTAAGAAACTACCTCAGGTGAAGACATCGTGATGAAGTCTGGAAACAGGCTTCCATTCCTGAAACTTTCCATAAAATTGTGAGAAGGTGGTGAAGGAAAGAAAAAGACACCTACCTGTGCTCACCTGCAGTCTTTGAGTGGGACTGCACAGAGCAGAGGAAATCAACAGGAGGAGCTGGAAGTTTTGGTTCAAGACCACAGTTGCGACTCATTTAACATAACTACATCCTGGCGGGAATGTTGAAAGGACTGGAATATGAAATAAGAGGGTTGAGATTGTTCTAGAAGGATAGCAAGGAGGAAAGAGGGAGGAGTTGGTGGGCATGATTAATAATACATTTGAAAATAGGACTTCTGAGGAAAGACTGTGGGAAGCTGGATTATTTAGCCTATAGAAATCGGGGTTGATGGGTAACTTAATTTCTTTGCATATATGAGGATTGTTATGTATATGTATATTCTTCTCTGTATACACAAAGAATAGAATTAGAGCTTAAACTGCCACAAGAGGGACGTCAGTTAAATATACTAAAGAACTTCTTAACAGTGAGCAGTGAGGGGGGTGATAAACATTGGAACATGTTACTATGGAGTTTGCAGAATTTCCTTTCCCAGAGATCTTTGAAAATAGTTTACAGAGGTCAGCTGAGAAAGTGCAACCTGCTACCTCCTCAGCTCTCTCTACTCTCTGCCTCCCCTTCTTTCCTGTTTCTCAGTATCTCTCTCTTCCCCCACCCCGTCTCTTTCTGTGCTTCTCTTCCTCCTTCTCCATTCCCCTATCCCCAGAACTCCTTCCCATTCCTCATTCCCAACTAGCACTGCCCCTCTCCTAACTCCCATTTCCTGTACATCCTGACTCCTAGAGGAACCTTCCTGGAGGTGACACTGTTCCTAAGGCCAGGCTGTGCAGCTTCCTCTTGTTATCGACATCAAGTCCACCAAACTGGGCAGTAAACATAAAAGCTCCACATTCTTCAATAATAGCCCAATTCTAAAAAGAACCACAAAGTGACCCATAGGTCTGATCACTTGGTACTTCTCATCCTTTGGACTCAGCTGAAATGTAACCTCCTTTTTGAAACCTTTCCTGACCTCTTCAGCATTTGGTCCCTACCACTAAGGCAGCACTTCTACTATCCCATGACTGTGTCTGTTTCCCCACAGATACAGACTGATCTCCTGGAGGGCCGCTTATTTCTATATGCTCAAACCTAGCTTTGTAAATGCATATTCACAAAAGGGGGTGAGGGGAGGGGAGAGAAAACACAAGATGGGCAGAGAGAGAGAGACAGAGATGTGTGATAAAAGTATCCAACTCTTTAGCAGGGACTCCCAGAGAGCAGACTGTGTCCTCAGAAGTCTGTAGAACTCCTGACAGTACATTCATGACAGGAAATAACTACAAATGTAACACTGAATCCTATTTTTCAGGAAAGAAGGCAGGGCCTCCTGGACCCAATGGCCCTCCAGGACCCCCAGGACCTCCAGGACCCCAGGGACCCCCAGGAATTCCAGGGATTCCTGGAATTCCAGGAACAACTGTTATGGGACCACCTGGTCCTCCAGGTCCTCCTGGTCCTCAAGGACCCCCTGGCCTCCAGGGACCTTCTGGTGAGTTCCCCTGTCTCTCCACCCCACTAGGTACTTTACAGTACTTTAGAGAACAGGAGTGGGTGATCCTGAAAGCAGTTTCAAAAGGTGGAGATGGGGCTGGTGTGCAATAAGGGATGCAGGTCTCCTAGCTCAGTGTAAAACTAAGAATTGGACAAGCCAGTAGGGACTGGCTTGCTCTAGCTTCTTGTATCTACCAACCTGCCAAGGCCAGGCCACCTGTTCTTGACCCATCTCAACCCGTCTGTCACAAGCCCTCCCTGACTCTTGGCTTCCCTGTAGTGGACCAGTAAAACTCATATGAGCCAGAGACAGAGGCCCTGGTGGTTCACTGGTGTTCTGGTGGGGAATGGATTTAATCTTTCCTGATTTCCAGCATGTAGCTCCGCATGCTGATGTTTGCATAGAAATAGGCTATGGAGTGGAAACTTGGGGACCGAACAAAATGACAAGCCATAGGATAGTTTCATCATATTAAGTCTGAAGTGTTTTCCCCATAGCAAGTAGTCACTAATGGTCAAGAAGTTGGAAACTTAAGAGTCACTCAAGCTGTGGATGAAGCAAACCCAGGCACCAAGGCTGTCCTGTCCAGGAACCAAGTGCTTCTTGCACTAGATCCTTACCCTACCATACTTCCCATTCAAATGCCATTTCATCCCTTTGCATCTTTCTCCTTGAGCGCTGAAGAGCATCAAAAAGGTATGAATGCAGATCCAAACCTGCCTAATTGGAGTTGACAAGAGTCAGACTGCCTGGGCTTATGTCAGTTGTTATTTTTCTCTCCTCTCCACCCCCTTCCCCCATATCTTGGGGCTTTAAAGAAATGGACCCTTACAGCTGATTTCTCCAGAGGCAAGAATACTGCAGCAGGGCTCAGATTCTTTAACTTGTACCTCACATAGGGCTAAGCAGTGTTACCATGGCCACAAGAGATGGAGTTAGAGATTTTTTTTCATCCAATCATTCCATAAATATTGAGCACTTTCTGTATACAAAGAGATATATTGACACATGGTCCCTGTTCTCATAGAGTTTATCTCCTAGAGGATGAAGACAACAAGAAACAAGATACTTGCAAATAGCAGTGGGCTCTATACGAAAATTAATAGGAAGCAAAGGTCAGGGTCACACAGTGCCAGGAATACCCTCTCATTGTTCTCCATGGGTGCCCAGTGGGGCTTGCCTTGGGCTAATATTGGCCACAGACACTACCCAGAAGTTTCCCTGCTGGGTACTAAACCCACTGAAGATGAAGATCAGGGACAGGAAAAGAAGGGGTGTCCTGTCCCAAACAAGGGCTCTGCATTGCACTCTGACTCTTCCTTCAGCTCTAAGCCCTGGAGAATAATGTTCAGACAGGAGTGGCTGCAGGGAGCAGGGCTCACCGCCACTAGCTGCTCAGGTGAGGGGAAAAGGAAGTCAAAGGATCATGCCCTCTGATTGGCCTGTCCTATTTTGCAGGTACTGCTGATAAAGCTGGAACTCGAGAAAACCAGGTTGGCTGGGGATTGCTCTCTTCTTGGGTAGGACAGAAAGCCGCAGGCTAGAGCTACCTTTAAATTAGCTTCTGATTAGATTTCCTGAGGCTTTATTTCATGAGGACGCCCTGGAGATTCTGAGGGTTTTCACTCACAGCCCCCTCCCACCTCTATGAATAGAAAAGCTTTGCCTCAGGGCATGTTTTTAGCTAAGGAAAGGGGTGTCTTGCCAGGACCATTTTTCCTCATTCCACAGGAGACCCCAGGGTCACCATAGCCAGGCCTAGTAGTCGGCTGAAATAAGCTGTCAGTCAGACCTATTTACCTGGGCCTCCAACTCCCCAACCACCCCAGACACCTTGTCGGCTCTCAGACCACCTGGGATCTGGAGCTGAAGAGTTGAAGAGTGCGTCCTTGAAAAACAGCCAACCAGCTCCAGGCCCAGCCTAGCCTGGGCTTCTGCCTTAATGGCCTGAAGAGCTCCTCCCAGTCTTTGAGCTTCCTAATGTGTCTCTATTGGCAGGTTCTGCTGCCTTGCCTTGTCTCATCTCAGCCTCCCTCACTACAGCTGTGTGGTTACTATGCTAAATCTACACAGCTGCACAGTGTTGATGGCTTGCAGGGCAATTTTATATCCATCACCTCATTTGATCTTCAGATATCCCTGTGAGAGAGGCCAGACATTCTTATGATCCCCATTTTACAGTTAGGGAAATGAGGCTCAGAGGCATTACATTTGGTTGTGGTCACATAACTAGGAAGCGGTAGAGCTACAAAATCACATTACCCTCTAGTAGAAATGTAGTCACTAACATCCCAAGACAGGGGAGAGGGATCAGAATTGGATTACAGCAGAAGACTAGAAACCAGGATGGAAACATGGGACTGGTGGCTGAGCAAGCAGCCATTATTCATAGTGACTACTCTCTATCCTTCTCATCCCGTCAGCCAGCTGTGGTGCATCTACAGGGCCAGGGGTCAGCAATTCAAGTCAAGAATGGTAAGAATCAAAATAGGCTCTCTCTCTCTCTCCCAAAGAGGAGCTTCTCCCCTCCCTCATACCCAGCCTCCAAATAATCACCCAGCCTAGTTCCTCACAGGCCCCTGAAGTACCCTTGGCATAGGAAGGCATTCTTTGCTCCACCATTCCCTCTACTGGCTGTCCTGAGCAATTGCGGCATCAAGACCAGTTCCTACACCCAAATTGCATTTAGAATCACTGATTATGGAGCTGAATGGGACTTGAGACATCACCTAGCCCAGGCATTCTCAGGGTATGGAGGTTATATAAGAGCCACCATGGAGATATGTGTAGTTTGATTAATATTTTCACAATACAAATTATAGAAAGTAAAACTATATAAAATTAAGTTCTTTCCTGATGGATCTACACAGATGGACAGACAGGCTGCTTCTCTGAGGGAAAGTGGGGCATGTTAGAATCTCCAGGGAGTATAAGACACTAGTGTCTATCAAAACGGATGATGTGTTTAATGGGGTTCAGAAACACTGATTTATTGTAATCCCTGCATTTAAAAGATGGGGAAACAGAGTCCCAGAGAGACTGAATAATACCATAATAAATCATGCTGCCTCATATTTGTATGATAGAGTATTCAACATGGTTTCTTTATCTTTAATTTCATTCAGTCCTTACAACCACCCTATGAGGTGTAGGTATTAGCTTCTTTTATAAAGTCATAGAGGGTTATTAACTGTCCCAATATTCCATAGTCAAGTTAGTTTAGGAGCCAGGATTCAAAACCACATCTTTCTCTTTCCTTTCCCCTATGCTACTTCAGTGATGTGTATGTACACTCCACTGAATGATTAAGTTCATCTTTCTTCCCCCAAAGAGACATGAACATTCATGAAATAACAGCACTTTGGAATAATGTCCAGTCCCCAGAGTGCACAAAGCCTAAATTGCGTGAACCCCCGGGAGCCTTGGGAAGCAGCAAGCTAGCCAAGATGCCAGATGCTTACAGAGCTTGGAGTGGAAGGGAGAGGTTGTGAGTACAGAAACAGTAAAGGAAGGTTAAAAAACCAGCTACATGAGGACAGTTTCTAAGAACTCAGTCAGTCCTGAACTGGCTGTGCTGAGTTTCCTTAATGGCTATATTTAGCTACTTCCCTGACTGCCACTTGGATGCCTGACTGTAATAGCCTCAGAAGTGTAAATAGGAACAGAACGGCATCAAAACCCAATTGGTCCTTCTGGAGACCCCAAAGCCCTGAGTGGGCCATGATCCCCACCTGTCCAGGGAGGCCAGAGACAGGACAAAATAGACTTGTTTAGGTATCTGAGTGGATAGTGCTTATTCTGTACCAGCAGCCACTGATTTTGCTCCCACTGCCACATAAGAAGATTGTTTTCAGCCCCTCTGGGTCAATCCCCAGAAGTAGTCTGTGCTGACCTTTAGTCCTACCAGAAGAAGTGATGGGGGTGGGATGTGGTGGCTTATGCCTGTAATCCCAGCACTTTGGGAGGCCAAGGCAGGTGTATCACTTGAGGCCAAGAGTTTGACACCAGCCTGGCCAACATGGAGAAACCCTATCTCCACAAAAAATATGAAATTTAGCTGGGCATAGTGGCACACACCTGTAATCCCAGCTGCTCGGGAAGCTGAGGCAGGAGAATCACTTGAACCCAGTAGGTGGAGGTTGCAGTAAGCAGAGTTCACGCCATTACACTCCAGCCTGGGCAACAGAGCAAGCGAGACTCCCATCTCAAAAAAAAAAAAAAGAAGTGATGTGATCAGGGGTTGGAGGATATCATGCAGAGTGCTCCACTGATAGGACAGAGCCAGGGCAGCTCTTCCTAACTCCTAGCCCATCTACTTACCACCTCAAGGAAAGATGGACACCTTTTCTAGAAAGCCTGTTTCCTCACCCCTCAGAGAGGCAGGCCCACTGAAACTGGCCTTATAAAATATAATTTCTTGGTGTAGGATGGATGGCTTAGAGGGAAAACGGCTCTCTGGGCTTTGATGTCCCCCCCCCCTCATGGTGGGAAGGAACATTCCTCTTTCTGCAGGATGGAAAGAGAAGCTTTTCCTCCACCCTCACGTGCTGGCTTCTGCTGTCCAAAGAAGTGTGACTGCCCCATGACTGAGGTGGGGCTGAGACAGATCCTTTGCCAAGTGTGCCTCAGCTCCTATCCTCCTGGCTGGCTCCATTGCAGCCTGCCAGTCTATCCTTCACTCCCACAAGGATCGCTCTCACCTATGGGGCCCTGGTACTGGTGGTCAGTAGCCCCAGTTGCCATGGAGTCTCAATCATCCCTAATCCCTAAGGTTCTCCAGGTAGACAGTGGGCTGAGTGGTTTCCTAGGGACCCAGGGAGGCTTTCCAGAAAGCTGCGGGTGTGGAAGAACCATAAAAAAGAATTTCTTAAGGAGAAAGAGAAAACCCATCAACCTATGAGACAGGAGAAGAATTTGGAAGCTCAGGCTGGGAAAGTAAAATTGAATAATAAGACCTAGCCTGCCACTCAGTGTCTGAATTTTGCCTGTGCAGGCCCCATAACAACAAAGAAAATAGGGCAACATGCCCACTCTCATCCTTCTCCTCCTCCAGCAAATTCCACCTAGAAGGTATTAGTTAAAGACACCTCCAGATGCAAAGGTCAGGAAAGGAAGGATAAAGACAGACAGGCAGAGCCCAGGAGCCCTGAGGCAGGCCTCGCAGCTGCTTTACAAACAGAACAGCTTCTCTGCTTTCAAATACTCTTCTTAAAGCGTGGCCTTCTAAGCTACCCTGGTTGCATTGGGATAGGGGCGGGGTTTGTGAACTCCTTGGTATTTATTTTCTTTTGCCTCGATTATTCTGACATGTACTGAGTGACTGCACTTCTCTCATACTGAGATCTTTCAGGTGGAGTGCTTAATGACTGGTCTCGCATCACTATGAACCCGAAGGTGTTTAAGCTACATCCCCGCAGCGGGGAGCTGGAGGTACTGGTGGACGGCACCTACTTCATCTATAGTCAGGTAGAAGTGAGTACGGTCTTAGGCCTAACTCTTCTTATATCCAGAATGCAGATCCGGTGCAGGCCACATAGGGGCACTGTGGAGCCAGACAAGACCATCCAATGGCTAGCTTCCGGCTTTGGACAAGGGTGTGGGGGGACCGCACTGGGAGAGAGTTGAAAGGAGGAAAGAGAGAGGGGGCCTGCTTGTTTTGTTTCGTTTCGTTTCGTTTCATTTTGTTTTGTTTTGTTTTGTTTTTCCCTAGCTAAATATTACTGAAAAACTGTGAAAAAGGCCCTTGCCACACCCTACCATCTGATTCCCTCCTGCAGGACCTCAGGCCCCTGTTTACCCTCTGAGCTGTTTGGTTCCATTGCCAAACTTGAACTTGGTCTCAACATATTCTTTGAAAGTCAGTTTCAGGGTTACTGAGAACCTCTCCCCTCAACACCGCTGGCACGGGCATTATAATGAATAGTAATCCTGCAGACTTTCCACCTCAAAAAGATTTCTGACTGTCTTTCCTTCCTCTTTCTCCCATTTATTTCCCTATCGTTCTATTCCTCTATTCTTGCCTCCTTCTTGCTGTCATTCTCCCAGCCCTTTCTCCCTCTGCTTTTGTCCTCTTCCTGCCCTGGCCCTCTCCCCAAGTCTCCCAGTGTCCATCTACTTCCATTCCCCCATTGTTTGCCTCCATGGGGGTGGCTCCTTGGAGATAGAGGAAGATGAGCCATGAGGTTGGGATTTTTGTGGGGTGGGCAGCAAGCAGACAAGTGGACAGAAGGACTATGGAGCCAACAGATGGGTGTCACATGAGAGCGGCCAGAGAAGGTGGGCTAACAAGCATTTGCTAGGCACACTGAGCACCCCAGTGTAGCTTGGGTCCTGACCCATATATGGCACCCAAATATGCTGTTCCTACCCAAAGAGCCAATGGAGGGAGTGACCTTTCATAAAATGATTTATGGTGATATCTGAGGGTCCCAACACCCATGGGGCACATGGGCATAACCCGATGTCCTATGAGCTAAGCTCCACGTGGTGCAGCAAGGCGGGTATCAAAGCTTGGGGTAAGGTATAATGGACAAGGGTAGTGAAGGATGAAAAAAATAATTTCTTCAACCTAGGAGAGAATTGGGAGTGGCCCATGCAGGCTGGGAAAATCCCCATGGCATTAGGCCACTGCGCGTAAGTTAGTGTTTTCTTCGGGCCACAAAGTTAGGGGCCTGAGTTTTTCCAAATTCTTTGTCTTGTTTGCAGTTGCTAGCTCTCCATCTCTCTAGACCTGTTTCCTCAATCATAAAATGGGAGGCCCAAGGGGCACTGTGAATCAGTGAGGGGAGTCCAGGTGCAGGGGAGGGGTGGTACAAGATGAATAAGCTTCTGTTAAGGAGCTGAAGAAATTGCAAGCTGTTATGTGCCTTCTCTGGGGAATCAGTCACTTCTAAGTTTCTCTACAAATAGTCCGTGGGGCTCAAGAGTGGAAGTCAGTTTGTGTCTATGGCACTGTGTCCACACCTGCTATATGCAGAGTGCTCTGCTTCATGTCAGGGCTGAGGCGGGGTGGGGGTGGAGCAGGACAGGGCATGGCAAAACTGCAAATAGGGCATGGTTCTTAGCCTCACAGAGTTTATGACAGGTGTGCTGTTGTAAGAAAGCTTTGCTCAGCCAGCTGAGCCCCATGGACTAAGGGAAAGACAATGCATCAGCCCATCACCCTGCCTTTCCTGTTGGCTAGCTAGCATGCCTTCACTTGGCTCTGCCCCATCCATGGGGTATGCTGGCAGCTCATCTGAGAAGGTTCTGTCAATTCACCACAGGGAGGGTCCCCCACCCTCTTTTTCCTCTCTTCCCCAATCCCTTCTTGTTGCCTCTCACTCAGGTATACTACATCAACTTCACTGACTTTGCCAGCTATGAGGTGGTGGTGGATGAGAAGCCCTTCCTGCAGTGCACACGCAGCATCGAGACGGGCAAGACCAACTACAACACTTGCTATACCGCAGGCGTCTGCCTCCTTAAGGCCCGGCAGAAGATCGCCGTGAAGATGGTGCATGCTGACATCTCCATCAACATGAGCAAGCACACCACCTTCTTTGGGGCCATCAGGCTGGGTGAAGCCCCTGCATCTTAGATTCCCCCCATTTTGCCTCTGTCCATGCCCCTTCCCTGGGTCTGGGAGCCAGGACTCTCAGAACCTCCAAGTGCTGCTGTGGAGTGAGGTATATTTGTGTTGCAGCCGCAGAGAGAAATGCCCCAGTGCTATTTATTCCCTAGTGACTCCAGGGTGACAAATCCTGCTTGACTTTCCAGAATGATCTTGACTTAACAGGACAGTGGATGGAGCCCCAGGGTTTACATGAAGCAGAACCTTCTTCTTTGGTTCCATGTTGACAGACCTTACGGCATGACTCTTCAACCCCGAGGTCCCTGTGATCAGATCTATTGTTCGTTGCACTAAAATGAGGATCCAGAGCAGCAGGTCAGAGAAAGCAAAAGTGCACTCCAGACTCTGGGGGTGGACATCTGACCCCAAGGGGGCTGCTGCTCCTCTCTTGGGTAGGGTGGTGGCAGGGGCAGAGTGGGAAGGGAGCATTGCAGCCTAAGAAGGCCAGGGAGGGAAAGGCAGGTGCTTTTAGCAGAGACCACGAGAGAAACCTGCCAAGAGAGCATCCTTGGCAGTGGGAATGTTCTTTCTGCTCTGCACTGTGGCCTGCAGGAGGGTCTTCCCACTCCAGCTGACACCCACATTGTGGCAGCTTGCTGGGCTTTGGGAAGGGGAAGTTCGCTCTGCCTTATAATAGTCACGGGGAATGGACACAAACCTGCCTGCATAAGAACCTGAATCTGTACATGGGTCACATGTCTCTCATTTTGTTTACAGCTGTGCTCCACACTCAGAAAACTCCCTGGGGTCCCCTTCCAGTTGTCCCCATTCCCAGCTCAACTAGAACTCATGTCTTCTTTCTCCACAGAGCCTACCTCTGTCTGAGACAGGTGACTAACCTGGGATCTGTGCTCATGCGAGTCTGGGATATTCTTTAGTTTACCTGGGCACAAAAAGAATTTTCCATTTATTAAGCAGTACAAATGTTTTTCATCCAATCCTAATCGAATTCTGTCTGGGGACAAAGGGTTGGACTGGATGACCTCCAGAAGTCCCTTCAAGTTCTAATATTTGTGACTCTTAGCAGGTAGCCCTCACCACAGCCTTCTAAATTCCCAAACCATAGACTGCTCCTGGGCATTAGCAAGGTAGAGCCTTTTTACCTGGCCCAGATAGGGCAAGAGGTGAGGATAGGACAGAGGGATTTTGTTCAAGTTTGCTGCAACCCAAGTGAACATTAGGCCAGACTTTACCTGAAAGACCAGCAGCTGATGCCATACTGACCCAATCTTTCTTCACTCTGGCTTCAAAAAGCCACAGCAGAGCATGGTCACTGCAGATTGCTCATGCTGCTCCCTTGAAGCCAGGCTCAGGAGAAGCCAGTATCTAGGCACTGGGCAGGGATCTGCTCCCTAGTTCAGGTCCAAATGCACCTTCCCCTAAACCCCAAGCTTCCCACTGGATCATATGATAGACCGTCATGGGCCTTACTACAAACTGCCTGGGCTCAGCCTGGCTTCTGGGTGCTAGGTCCAGCCCAAACCTAGGAAGGCCAGCCTTGTACAGTCTGCTCCTCTTGCTCCTGAAATGTGTTTCCTTTTCAGGAGATGGGGAATAAGTTCCTTCAGGCAGCTGAAATCCACCAAGAACAGCAGATACTTATTTCTCAGCTGTGCCTTCCCTTTCTAAGCAACCACACTGCTTGGACCTTCAAGGGTCAGGGTGAAAGGAGATGGACTAGGCCTCCATTGTCTGGTTGCTAACGACAGCCTTGCAGCCCAAGGTGAGGTGAACTCCAGGCATGTATCTGGCCCTAACTCCTATAAAGTGCCTTGGACAGTCTGCAGTTGTAGCAGGAACCCACAAGAACCTCTCCATGTTTGGAAAATAATTTATCTTTTATAATCTTTGAAGAAGGCAAGGCTGATAATATGACAAACATCATTGTTTAGATGAGGCTCAGAGGAGTTAAGTGCATTGACCAATTTAAGTCACAGACCTGGGGCTTCAGCCAGGTCTGACTCCACAGCTGTTCCATTACACCACAGCATTGTATGGAATTTGAGGTCTAGAGAGAATGAATAAAAGTGGTAATTTGGAACTGAAATTCTTGAGGGTTCTAGGGAGAAACCCAGAGATGCCAATTTTTATTCCTCAGTGGTAATACCTGTCCTCTTGGCTGCCAGGGGCTCTGTGGAAAAAAGAGTGAGACATTTCTTTGGGAAACAGCCATCATCCTTAGAGCTCTTATGTTCAGAAGAATCTTCCTGGCACCATGTTGAAGTAGCACACCTCTGGGACCCACAGAACTGGTGGCCTTTATGTTCTTTCACCCATCCAAGGAACCACCCAACCATCGTGTGTGGAGCCCCTGCTGTGGGAAAGGTTCTCCTTTCATTACCCTACAGACAGCTTACAGGAGCCAGCCCCCTTCCCACAACTACTAGTGTGACTCCTTATCTCTTTCCTCCATACCTTTGAGATTTTGATACTACCAGGGTCTCTCAAAGATGGAGGGAAGACCTAAAAGAGGACCGGTTCTGAGGCCAGAAGGGTGTGAGGAGAGAGAAGGAAAAGTCTTCCTAGTTGTGCTCCAGACATGGAGGGGATGACAAAGGAAATAGGATTTTCACTGGACTCTTGATTCTTTCTGAACCTTCCAAAGGAACTCTAGAGAGCAAGGGATGATGAGGGAAGCAATAGGTAGCTGGGGAGCCCTATTGCTGCTAAGTCACTGGCAAAGTGACGAAGCAATTTACAGATGAGAGAATGTGGAAATAAATGTGCAGTTTGGAATTATGCTGGTGTGAGTTTGCCAGAGGACCCAGGCTAGCATGGAGAATGGGATGAGGACATTTGTGGGCAAGCAGATGACAGAGGTCTGAAGGAGAATTGCATGGCAGGAGTCTCTGCCAGCTACTTGGGCTTCAACAGCCAAGCTGGCACAGAAGACAGCTGGCAGAGACTGCTTCACTACTGGTTACCTAGAAAAGTAGTATTTGCCTATTTCCCCCTTCATCCATCCTGAGCCAAATTTCTTTTGCTGAACAGGAAAGAGCTAGGAACCCTGGAGGTAAACGAAGACTTTAATCCATTTATGAGTGTGTGTGTTTATGTAACTTCCTGTGGATGCAAATAGATTCAGAGAAATGTAGAGCTAAAAAGGCCCTTAGAGGGAATCTAGCCCAACCTACATTCCACCCTATGTTACTTATGCAGAAACTGAGGCCCAGAGAGGGAAGATGACCTACCCCAAGTGGTGAGCAAGCCCCAACCTCCAGACTCAGCAGAGTGAGGAGGTAGAGCAGTTCCTGTCCTACACAGCTGTCTTCTTTCTTCTACCCACAGACTCCAGGCTGGAAGTGCTTGGCCCCATTCAGGAGCCTGGCCAGGCAGGGAGAGAGCAGCTGCAGCTCTTCCTCCTCCCAAGGCATTCTCCCAGCTCCAGCCTCTAGACTGGAAAGCAGAGACTGGCCCGGTACCAGCAAGTCCTTAGGCTACTGTAATGCTGCCTCAGGACCCATCCCTACCTGGAGGCTCCCCTAGGCCCTGTGAGCACAAAGAACAAAGCTGATTTTGTCTTTTAATTAATTTCAGGATTCTCCAGGAGGACTTTCAGTGTGTCATTTCTTTATTCCTCCAGCTGGGATTGGGGGGTGGGCTTTGTTGTGAGAATGGCCTGGAGCAGGCCCAATGCTGCTTTTGGGGGTCAGCATCCAGTGTGAGATACTGTGTATATAAACTATATATAATGTATATAAACTGGGATGTAAGTTTGTGTAAATTAATGGTTTATTCTTTGCAAATAAAGCGCTTTCCCCGTCTGTTCTTGAAATCACTGCGAACATTTCCTACATGTTAGGGGCTTCTTTGCAAATGATGCCACACATGAGCTAGGGGAAGGACCAAGACACCCATTTCAGAGGTGGCGACAGAAGGAAGATGGTCTGAATTTCCTGTTGGAACATCCCACATCCTCTCCATGTCCCAGACCACACTCCTGCATCTGCATTACCTTAGGTCAGGGTGTGCAATCTTTTGGCTTCCCTGGGCCACATTGGAAGAAGAAGAAATGTCTTGAGCCACACGTAAAATATACTAACACAATAGCTGATGAGCCTAAAAAAAAATCACAAAAAATTCTCATAATGTTTTAAGAAAGTTTATGAATTCGTGTTGGGCCCCATTCAAAGCCATCCTGGGCTGCATGCGGCCTGTAGGCTACAGGTTAGACAAGCTTGCCTTGCCTTCTGTGACCACATGACTGGTAGGCTAGATGTCCTGCCAAAAGGAACATTGTCCTGGGGCAGCGAAACACAGAACTGAGTCACTCTCAGCTTAAGAATGTGGCGTCTACAAAAGATACTTCAGGCCTGGGCCCCAAATAGCTTGGGTAGACCCAGCCTCCAGCTCCTCATTTTGCAGATGAGGAAACCAACACTTAAAGAATTGAAGAAGCTCACCCAGGGTCACCCAACTAGTAACTTTGTCAGACTGGTCTGATTCCTTCCCAGCCGAGGCTGCTTGTCTACCGTTACGTGGAAAAGCAGTATTTGCCTATTTCCCCCTTCATCCATCCTGAGCTAAAATCAATAAGGAAGAGACTCACGGGAAGAAGACCAGATAGTAGCTCAAGAACATGTAGCTCAAGAGAGCTCTGGCACTTTTCACAACCCCAGCAGCCTTTGATCCCTCGCCCCCCACCCACCACCATCATATAGGTGGAGCAATGTGCACACAGTAGGCTGCAACAAATCTGCAATGGCCAGGTGTACATGGGCTGGGTGTTGGAGCCCAGGCTGGTCCTCTGGCCACCTTAGAGGTTTTTTTTTTTGTAAGGAAACCAGTCACAGGAAAGCTGCAGACTGTTTAAAAACACCTTATGGAAGCTCAGGGAAAATGTAATTTCTGGCACAACAAGTAACAAAGACAGCAGAAAAGCAGAAGCATGTCTTTGCCCACTGTATACAAATCATTACATGAGGCAGGCACCCAGGGCAGAGGCAGCAGCTCATACTGCAATAAACACACAGGATGTTGTAGACCAAATTGATGAATGTAATGCAGGTAAATCATTGGACCAAATGGCACCCACATGAGAGGGATGGAATGATGGGTCTGTGAGCCAAATTTTGAACCTGTCAATGCAACAGCCATTGGACCAAGAGTCAGAGACTTGCCATTCAGAAGGAGAGTTCTTTATGGCTGCTAAAAGCCAGGCGCCTCATTTCCATCCTGAGCAGACTGGCTGATTCTCAAATAAAGGGCAGAATTACAGGGCCAGGCAAGTATAGGCAAGTTGCTGAGGGAACATCAGAGAAAATTAGGCCTGAGCCCAACCTATTCTGTTACAGCTTTATGAGGTGGAAACTGAGTGTGGGCTAGTAGGTAGCAAAGGGTATTTAGGGCATTGTTTTTTCAGGGACAGGAAATGGGTAAAATGATTGGAGAAGAAAATGCTTGGTGTAGCTCTCCAGTTTACAAAGTTCAATCACATCCTATATTGTTTGAACTTCCCAAAAGCCTTTGAGGTAGGCAGTGGACAGATTGTTAGTCTCATTTTATAGATGAAGAAAGGAGGCTCAGAGGTGACTGATTGCCCCAAAGTCACATGGCTTGAAATTGGTGGAGCTTGAACTCCAAGCCCACAGGCTCTCAAGGCCCCAGTCCTACAGGAGTCTTAATGCCAGGAGATGGGGCTGTTTGAGACCTAGAGAAAGAGAGACATGCACAGGGATCCCAGATCCCTCAAAACAGAGTGGTTGGTGCAGACGGCATATCAGAAGATGGGATTTTTATTTTGTCCGTTGTTTCCCTCAATGCTGGTGCCAAAGTGCCTTCTGGGCACCTCTGCCCTAGGCTCTTCCCTGTTTCTTGGGACTATCTCTCCTGTAGCTGCAAGAAAAGGGCAGAGAAGAGCTGGAAGGAAAAAGAAATGAAGTGGGAAAAGGAGTGCAGGAAACAAGCAAATGAACAGCCAGGACTGGTCAAATCAGGAGCGGGGGCCCCACAGGTGACTTTTGTTCTCCTGTTCTCACTGGGTCCATACCTTCCCACCAGGCTGAAGGCTGCTGGGGATGTGTGTCAAATTATCGCCAGCTCCTGGGTCTCTGAGAAGCCAAACTTGGTCTTATGCTGGTCGAACAGTTTACATAAGGCTTCAATATAAAGTGCATGATATTTAGCCACAATCTCCCGGCTTGGATTCTCAATCTTGGGCATTTGTAGAGGCTCCCCGACTGCCAGGTGAGACAGTGAAGGAAAAGAGAAAAGCATCAGAATACCTCATTCCTCAGAATGGACCCCAGGTCTCAAGCCCAGGCTCTCCCCATCCTCACCTCAAAGCTGCCACTCATCCTAGCCAGCTCCCTGCCTCTGAGTCAGGGCTGAGGTTCAGCCTTAGAGCTGGATCCCGTGTCCTAGACTGAGGCTGCCAGCAAAAAGGCCCACTCACCGATGGTGGTTACAGGCAGTGCATAGGGCAAAAGGCCCCGAGAGTTCTTGGTGAAGCCACGACCGTAGAAAGCACAAGGGTAGACGTGTACCATACTCCGGAACCACATCTGGAAGCGGTTGACAAAGCCCCCAGGAGTGAAAATGTGCTGATCATAGAGGTCTGTCTCTCCAAACGCATACGTAGGTATTAGAGCCACCCTGCAGAGCAAAAATATGTCCCATAAAGCCCAAAAAGGTAGGGACCTTGTTGAATGCCAGAAACACTGATGGCCCGTGATCCCTAAGTCTGACTACAGGCTTCCCAGACCCCATCCCAGATGTGCCTAGGTCCAAGTTGAGTGTGGAGGCTCCACGGCCTACCTCTGGCTGCCTGTGGGGGCAAAGCAGCAGTAAGCTAAAGGAGGAGGCAAGCCCAGACCCTCCTGGGAATCCCTGGGTCTGAAACACTAGAAGGTAAGACCCAACGGTTATGCCAGTTTTGACATACAAACTAAGCTTGGCTCTCTCTCAGACAGGATTGTTGCCAGTCCCCTTGTATAGAGGGACCAGCCCAGATGAGAGGCTGTTGTGAGAGACAACAGACTTAGGGCTGGCACTTTGCCCTTTCTGCTTCAGCAGAAATGCCTCCAGGATCTGGCTCAAGCTCGTCAACCCAGAAGCAGCCTTCCTCCTCCCTTTTTTCTTTTAATTATTTATTTTTTAATTAACAAATAAAAATTGTCTTTCTGATGACCATAGTTAATAAGAATGTATTGTATACTTCCTCCTCTCTCTGTGGATGTCCTTTCCTCAAAACCCCCTCTTCTTTCCCTGCTACACTTTTGGATTCCCTCCCCCAGCCTGGACTGGAGCTGCCCTTACCCATGCTGAAGTGCTATGCGCACAAAGCCAGACCGGTTCTTCAAGAACAGGGTGGAAGAGCCTGGCAGGCTGTATCTGCACTCAGCCAGGCCACCAACCACCACAACGAGCATGTTGCCTGTGCCTTTATGAGTCAGCAGAAAGTCCATGGAGGATTCACTCACAGAGCAGGCCCCTGGGGGATAGAAAAAGCCAAACAGCCATTGGCCACTTCCCAAACCCCTACATTTCCTCCCTACTGCTTCAAAGGAGGGGGAGCGCAAGGAGCCTCACATCAGGCAGGTGAGCCTATGATAACTGTTTCAGACCAGAGGGGATCAGAAGCTCGCCTTGCTGTCATGCATCCCCCTATACTTCTCCCTTGGGGAGTCATTTTTTCTTTGGCTTTGTGTCCTAGGAGCCAACTCACCTGTAGCCATTAGATAGTCTCTGAAGAAAGGCATCCAGAAAAAGGCTCCCAGTGTGAGTATGTAAGGGGTGATGCCAGGAAACGTCTTCGAGAAGCCGGAGCCTTCTGAGGAAAAGTGGCCAAACCATGTATGGGCCAAGATCCCATGAGGGTGGCAGACAAGGATGTAGTTGCGGTTGGGGGAGATGTCATGAGTCTTCAGAAGCTGTGGAAGAAAGTAGAATCAGGAGGGCTATCCCCAGGGTAGAGAACTCCTCTTTTGGCCAGACCTGAAAGGAAAAGGACTGCTAGGGCTGGCCATGCAGGTTGCCCAATGTACAACTCCAGGGGGCGTCATTCTCAAGAGCCTCAATGTGAATGACACCCTCCACCCCTAGCCTGACCCAACTGCTAGCACTGAAGTCAGAGTTGGACCCAGGTCCGAGTGGGGACCTGGGGCTACTGACCTTGAGAGGGAAGTAATCGCAGTAGTGTTTCCACAGGCACCAGTTCCTCACACAGTTAAACCGGCGGCCACCTGAAAACAGAGGCAATACAGCCAAGCTTTGCCCATTCCCACTGCGGGCCTGCCCCAGGGTGCTCTCACTCCATGCTGTTTCCTGGCCTCTGACGTGGCAACCGAGGTGGGCACATCAGGGCAATTTAGGACAGGCCTAGCTTCTGCTTCACTAGCTGCCCCTCCCTAACCTACTCCAGTTCTGATCTGGGCCTTTCTACCACCTTCCCTCAGCCTCTCTAGCCCAGGAATGGACAGGCTGAAGGGTTGCCTGGGAATTGGCCAGAGTCTCTCAGGATTGTGATGAGAAAAGGGGAAAGAGCATGTGACATGTCCATCACAGCACCAGGAGGACCCTTACCTCGCTCGGGGGTCTTCCAGTCAAAAGCCAGCCAGGTGAGAATAAGCACAGTGACAAGCCAGTATTGTGTGAATACCACCAGGTAGAGGTTGACAACGATCAAAGTTGTTACTGCAGGAAGCCCAGCCCAAAGTTAATGAATTTCAAGCAGTCCTTCGCACTTACCCTCTCTCTGGAGTTCTGTCCACCCCAAGGTCACACACACTCTCTCTCACCCATGCCCACTCAACACTCTCACTTCTTCATCCCAGCACCTGGCCCACCTGCCCGTGTCTACAGCCCCCTCTCCTATCTGGCCTTGGGAACCTGATTCAGGTCTAGAAGGCAAGGTGTCTTCCTCCCCAGCTGAGCTTCACACTGTAAGCCCTCTCCTTCCTGCTCCAGCACTGCACTGGGCTCTGCCTGCAGTGTTTTCAATGGCAGTGAACCAGTGGTGGGCTACCAGAGGTGGGGAATCCTGGAACAGTTTTCCCCCAATTCACATCCTCCTCTCCATATCTTCTCTCTGAGGCATCAGTGAAGGGAATAGCAAGGAAAGCAAAGACCTACCTTTAGCCCGGTTGGGAGCACACAAGATGGAAAACAAAGAAAAATACAAACCGGAATAGAATACGCTACTGGGCAATAAGATAGGAACACTGTAGGTTAGCATAGTTGTGAAGAGTTACTAGAGATGAGTCATAGGGAGCCACACTCAGAATTATTACTGGACTCAATTTTTAAGGCAGCTGTAGGTAAGATTGTTTGGGAAAGTGGGACAATAAAAGGTTAGAACAGACAGAACACTTCTAATTGAACATCACATGTTGAACACAAGCTTTTGCCTTGAGTTCTTGCTGGAGCTCCATGAAAATTATCATTAAAAAAAATTTTTTAATACAGATACACAAGGAGAAAGAGAATTAATGAGATGCCAACAGCAGATAAGAGATATCAACAAGACATTTGCGTGTAGGAAAGCAGATGGAGGAGGGGGTAACTGACTTAGAACAAAAAAAATTAAAATCTAGTTACCTGCAAGGGGATGCCTACAAGAAGTGAGCCTGTTTGCACTGGAGAATCTAGGAAAGACTCAAAATTTGGAGGCATTAGGTGTCACAAGAGGCAGGGATGAGGCACAGGGCTAGAAAAACTGGAGGATTGGTTGAAAGTCTGCAAAGGAATTAGTTAGAACCCCAGGCTCCCTCTCCTCCCCTACACAACTGGATGATAGGAGGATTATTCCCTGAAAAATTGAACCAAACAGATTCTAGACTCAAATACTTACACTAGCACAGCTAAGATATTATATATGCAGCCAAATTATTAATCAAGTATAGAAGTGGAATAAAGGTAATTTCAGATACACACAGCGTCAGATAATTTGTCTCCCACATTCCTGTCTCAGAAAACTGCTGGAGAATGTGCTTCACCAAAATGAGGAAGTATACCAAGAAAGAGGAAGGTATAGGATACAGGAAAAAAAGGACCCAACGAAGGAAGGCAGCAAGCAGGGCCAGGGTTAGAGAGAGGTGAGCAAGGTGCCCAGGACACAACATTGAGCAAGAAACTCACTCTCAGGCCATGCAAGTAGTGGCCCATCACTTGTATAGTCCTGAGAGTGAGCACCTTCTTAAATTTTGCACCCAAGGTGCCTCAAGGGCCCTGGAGGTGACAGCTGTGCATAAGGCCAAATTGTAACAGGAAGACGCTGAGTTCCAGCAGCGATGTTCTCAAGGAAATGAAAGGATGCGGGGACTTAGATTCTTGCCACGTGTGCCCATACTGAGAGATTGACATGTCTGCAGACATTCAGAAGATGAATTCGTGATAACAGATTTCTAATAGATAACAAAAGAAATGTAAAACCAGGCAATTAACTACAATTCATTTCAGTGTATGGTATGGCTACAACTAGACTTTCTTTCTGAATGATTTTCTTAATACTTTGTGGTAAGAAACCCATCTCCTATATGGCTTTAGGATGTTTTACTATGAAATGTTAAATTTGCATGTCTGTTTCAAGACCATTGTACTCAATAATTTTTTTATTGCTCTGTTGCCCAGGTTGGAGTACAGTGCTGTAATCTAAGCTCACTGCAACCTCTGCCTCCCAGGTTCAAGTGGTTCTTGTGCCTCAACCTTCCCAATAGCTAGGATCACAGGCATGGACCACCACACCTGGCTAATTTTTGTATCTTTAGTAGAGACGGGGTTTCCCCATGTTGGCCAGGCTAGTCTCGAACTCCTGAACTCAGGTGATCTGCCTGCCTTGGCCTCCCAAAGTGCTAGGATTACAGGTGTGAGCCCTCTCCCAAGCTGTACTCAATAATTTTATCTGTGAATTCTAGAGTCTGTGAAGCTTTTTATGTAACGGTTTTCTGCCCATCATTTAATAGGGAGCGTTCACAACTGTGCTGCCTCTTCTCCAGTCTCAACTGCTTCTTTTTCCAGATAAATTTTGAAATTATTTTGTCAAATTGCAATTATGATACTTCTAGGATTGGAATTAGATATTTTTAATCCTTATGTTAAGTGGAAAAAGTTTTATTTCTGTAAAATGTTTAGTATTTAGATTCAAAAACTGATTTTAAAATATTACATTAAAAAAAGAAAATAAAATTAGGTAATTATTAACTTCAGGGAAAACAAGAAATTCCACGGGAAAGGAAACATAATCTTGGTGACTAAATAGCTCAATTATGAATCATATTTTCTAGTCATAGGCATTTAACCAAAACCTGTGGTATAACAATTTTGGGAGGATGGGGAAGAGGAAGTTCTAGTGATAGTATATACAGCCAAATTCTCATCTTCCCTACTAGGAAGTCAATAGACAATGTCTAAAATTGTTACATCAGCAAATAACGAAATGTGGAAGTAAATCCCAGAAGAAAGAACCCACAAAGTTGGAAAGCATTCCCTCTGGAGAAGAGAATTAAGAGTGGAGCAAAGGCCAGCAGTTTTAGGGTTTTGATAAGCACCATATGACACTACTGACTTCTTCAAGAAGTAAAGAGAGGCATGGGTCTAGTCCAGAAGACACTGCCAGTTTCCTTTAGGCTTTGCTCAAATTTAGGCAGTGCTGGTGACATCTTTTAAGTGTGGCCTCAGGTGGGGTGCCCTGTGATGTGATGAATCTTGGATCTACCACTTATTGTATGTGACCAAAGACATTGCTGAACCTCAGTTTCTCCTCTGCAAGATGGGAACTAAAATCCCAATATCCTCCCTATTTTCCTGACTTATTGGGAGGGCCTTCTCTCAAGGCCTTTAGGGTCCAAATGGATTCAATTGCACTCCTAGACTGAAGAGCGGAGAGGCCTCTGAAGGGCCATTGCCCCAGTCACCCTATGTGAGCTAGTGGGGAAGAGGCAAACACCTGCAGCCCACATCTGCTGCCAAGACCGAGAGCTCTTCTGCATGCCCTTTCTGTACCTGTTTGTATACCCCAAAGTCAAACTCCAGTTAAGAATCCTCTGAATCCATTTTCTCCCTGGATACATCTCCTTTCACCCACTCTCCTCCTTAACCCTTCTCTGCTCCACTTGCCCCTTCTCCCCACCAGCTCACACTGGGATCCGATCCCTCAGTCTTGCTTCCTCCATTTTTCTCATGCCCCCCATCTTCAAATCCTATTAATTCTACTCCAATTTCTTGAATCTCCCCTCTTCTTTCCTCTTATCTGCATCACCATCACTACTGGCCTGGTCCAAACTACTGCCATCTGAATTATTGCAACAGCCTCCCACTTGGCATTGCCCCATTTCACTTCTATCTCCCTATAATCAGTTTGCTTCACAGAGCTAGAGTAATCTCTGACGCCATCATCCTGTGTCAAACTCCCTTATGGCTCCACATGGCCCTCATAAAAAGTCCAAACTCCTTTCTATGGTTTACAAAACCTTACACAATCTGTCCCCTGCCTGTTTCTCCAGTCTCTTCTTTCTTCCCTCTCTTGTTTGTTTATTCAGTAATTCAGTAAATACATATTGAGCACCAATTCTGTACTTCTCACCCTCTACCTCACTTAACCACTGGCAGCTCCTTGAATACATTATATGCCCTTTGACATCCTGGCTTTTCCATATGTTGCCCACTCTCTGCCCCAAATGCTCTTCCTTTCTTCACCTATTTCCTATTTGTCCTTCAAGAGTCAACTCAAATTCAAGAGAAAAACAGGCAGAGGCCATAAATGGGCAGTTAACAGAAAAAGAAATACTAATTGCTGATAAACATGAAAAGATGTTCAATCTCATCAGCAATTAAGGACGTTCAAAATGAGGCGACAGTTCATGGTTTCTTGCCTATCACTTCTGGGTGGAGGTAGTAAGGACTGCGGATGAGTTCTCCATTCACTTTCCCTCCCATACTGCGGTAATCCCTCAAGCCCCATTTGCAGTGACACAATTGGTGGTGCCTCCATCAGCCTGAATATTAGTGTCCACAGTAAGCAGTGACTCCCACCAACCTATGTTGGACATTCAACATGAACAAGAAATAAACATTTGTTGGGTTAAGCCACTGAAATTACAGGGTAAATTTATCACCATGGCATACCTAGACCATCCTGATTAATACATCCTAAATTCCCCCACTTTGCAAATGAGGAAAATAAGACCCAGAAAGGATAAATACCTTGCTAACAATTGCACAGATAGTAAGTAGTAGACCTGGAATTTGAAAACAGGTGAGGTGAGGTAAGGAATGCCTGCCCTCCCTATTCACTGGCATGCCTCTGTGCCAGCTCTGTGCACCAGGGCCTACCTGCATTCTTTATTCCCAGATAGCTTACAAGGTCACTTAATTCATGTCCCTGATTCCAGCCAGTACTCATCTGAACCGGTAGAAAGGCGGTAATGTTTTCCAGGACCCCTTCCCACAGTAATGATTTGTTTCAGCATTTAGAACATAGTGGTCAGCATAGAAATGACTGTCACAATGTGTTTGTAGTGTAGATGTTGGAAGACATGGATGGATAAATGGTTGAATTCCCCTGGATGAGGTTTCCAGAGCCTTGGTCTGCCACCTGGCCCAACTGTCTCTCACTGGTGGTTTTCTTGAGTCCCTGTGATTGCAGCTAAGCCCTTTTCCTTGGCTAGCCTCAGTGGAACTGCTCCTCATATTCCCAAAACATGCCCTCTACACCCCAATGTAGACCCAAGAGGGCTCACATTGCAGCAAAGCACATGTGCACACACATTCATATACACACCCCTGCATAGGCACACACCCATATGCACACATACATGCCCAAAAGGACACTCACAGATCCCACAGATATCATGGCCAAGTGGGTCAGGCCAGAGGCTGGTGTAACCATCTTCCTGGTTTCACTGGAAAAACCCTAGCTTGACCATTGAACATCCTGCAACCCTAAAATCCTTCAGTCTCAGGCAAGCCAGGATGATTGGTCACCCTACCAAAGGCTGAAGACTCACCAATAAGAAAGGCACTGAGGGCCCACTGGAAAACAGCAAAGACCTCCAGAGCAGTCTTGAGGTCCTTCTTAGAGGGCAAGAGCATTGTGCCCAGGGTTCCGGTGGCTCCAGGTAAGCACTGTTCCGCTGCCCAGCCCTGATTGCTCAGGAGTCTGTCGTGTTTCCTCTCTTCATGTTTTCTTCCCCAACCCCTACCTAGTCTCCGCCCCTGTGCCACCCCTCCACAGAATTACAGGACCATATAACGCCTATTCTTGTCCAGTTCCTTCCAGTTGCCCTCCCACTGGTACTTTTACCCATGGCCTGGACTGAGATTGCGACACTTACTTGAACACCTGGCTAGAGAAATGTAGATGAAGCCCTGGTGTGGGAAGTTAGTAAGTGTGGGTGTACAGCTGGCAAGAGGCCTCCAGGGCCAGTCTGGATAGTGGAGCATGATGGGCAGGAAGGAGCCCAGGGCTCAAATGGGGCACAGGACTTGCATTTCTGTTTCCGAGGCCCAGCTGTCTATGGTGTCTCAGTGACAACATGATTGGAGGGCAGAGGGGAGGAGGTCATAGGCCAGGCCTTAGAAATACCTTCAGATTTTTGGTCAGTCTGGGAGAACTTATTACTCACATTGAAGAGACATCACATGTATGTCTGTGAGCTATCATAGGTACTGGATAAATCTGTTATTGAATGAAGAAACAAATGTTAGGACATATTATTCTGTGCACATGAAATTTTAGAATAGGCAAAACCAATCTACAGTGAAACAAATCAGAGCAGTGGTTACCTGTGCTGGGGTATTCACTAAGAAGGGGCATGATGGAAATCTTTAGGGGTAACAGTGACATTCTCTATCTTGATAGGACTTTGAGTTACACAGATCAAAACCTCATTACTCAGTGAGTATACACTTAAAATTTGTATATTTCACTGCCTGTGGATTTTACCGCAATAGTGAACAAATGTTGAACTCTCATTCATTCTGAAGTGTTTAGTGGTAAAGAATACTATGCTGGGCATGGTAGCTCACACGTGTAATCCCAGCACTTTGGGAGGCCAAGGCAGGAGGATCACTTGAGGCCAGGAATTAGAGATTACAGTGAGCTATGACCATGCCACTGAACTCCAGCCTGGGTGACAGAGTGAGGCCCTGTCTCTAAAAAAACAAAACAAAAAAAAGAATGCTGATGTCTGCAATTTACTTTGAAAGGCATGTAAATATATTGATGGATGGATAAAGGAATGTATTGATGGGTAAATATGTAATAAATAAAACATGGCAAAATATTATCTGTACAATCTAGGTGGTGGGTGTTCACTGTACACATCTTTCAACTATTTTGTAGGTTTGAATTTTTTATAATAGAATTTCACAAAAAAGAGTTCCCTCAAGGTCATAATAAGAAATAAATTTTACAGGCTGAATGCAGTGGTTTGATGTTGTAATCCCAGCGCTTTGGGAGGCTGAGGTGGGTGGACCACTTGAGGCCAGGAGTTCGAGACCAGCCTGGCCAATATGGCAACACCCCATCTCTACTAAAAATACAAAAAATAAGTTGGGCATGGTGGCATGTGCCTATAATCCCAGCTACTTGGGAGGATGAGGCATGAGAATCACTTGAACCTGGGAGGCAGACTCTGTCTCAAACAAAAAGAGAAATTCTACAAACATGATTTTATTCATGCACATACATGTGTACATGTGCTCTTTGCCTGTGAGTATATTATGTACAAAGGCAAATATGTATCAAGCTGTCAACACATGTTTATATATGCACATTAGTAAGTGGCATCTCCAAGTATATGTCTGTGTGTGATGGGAGATTTGTGAGTGTCAAAGATACCATATTTAGCCAGATGTGTCCTATGGGCCAAATACACAGAAGGGTGGAAGACTAGAAGGGTGTCTTAACGCAACATGTAATTATTACGGGGACATAATATATGCCAGACACTGTTCTAGGCAGCAAAACAAACTAAAAAAACCATGCTTTTGTGAAGTGTATATTCTGGTGGAGGAAGACAAACAATAGAAATTAATTAATTAACTAATTCTATAGTGCATTCTAAGGTGATAAAACCTACGGGGAAAAAAACATTTGAGCAGAGTAAGAGGGATGCAGAGTGCTGGGCGGTGGGAAGGGATCAGGCAGGGAGAACAGACTTCACAATTTTAAAAGGAGTGATCAAGGAAGGCCACACTGAGAAAGTAGCATTTGGGCAAAGCCTTGAAGGAGATGAGGAGGTAAGCAATGTGGCAATTTAGATTGAGAATGTTCTAGGCAAAAGAAACAGTAAGGGCACAGCCCCTGAAATAAGGTGTCCCAGGCAGATCATGAGGAGCAGCAAGAAGACTTGAGTCACATGAGTGAGACGAACTGAGTAGGTGAGAGGGCAGTGGGCAGAGATCCTGGTAAAGGCCTACTGATGGAGGGCCTTATAGGCCAACATAAGGACTCGGCCTACTCTGACTGAAACGGGGATTCTCTGTAGGGCTTGAGCAGAGAAGAGCCAGAATGACTTAAGTTGCTAAAGGGTAGGGAAGAAGGAGGAAACCTTTGAGGGGCTATGACAATAATCCCCTGTGAGAGATAACGGTGCCTCATACCAGATTGGTGGCAGTGGAGATGGAGATAAGTAATTGGATTCTCCATGAACATGGAATTTCACAAAACACCACCTGGCAGAAGGGTTGGAGTAAGGGGGTGAAGCAGAGGCAGAACATTCTGTAAGGCCCTGTGGGAAGGATCTGCACTTCCCTGCCAAGGAGAAGCCACCTTGGCACAGCTGGGTTTGGGCTGTTGGCCAAGTGCGTGGAGCCCCAGGACAATTCCGCGGCCAGCACCAAGGTAGCAAGTAGAGACATCAGTGGCTTGAAAAAAGAGGAAGACCTGCCTACCAGAGAATAAGAAGGCCTGAAGCTGAGAGGCACTTCACTCCCTCCACAGATCCACTCCTGAGACGGGCCTCATGTATATCAAGCCTGGCCTTGCGGAACTGTGCTGTCCCCACCTTTTCACACATCTGTCCCCTGTCCCCACTGTCCCTGATGCCTCACTCTCCCATCCTGGTCTCAGAGCTCTCAGGGGCAGGAATTGAGTGGTTCTGGGTCCGACTGTTCTCACGCGCCCAGCCCCTAACATAGGCCACTCACTGACAATTGTTATGAAAATGCCTGAGTGGATGGAGGCCTGGCCCGTATGGCACTGGGCAAGTCTCTGAGGCTTGGTCACCTCACTTCTAAATAGAAAATAATGAATGGTCACTCTCAGACATGGGAGAATGCAGAGAAGTAACAGATGGCTGATCACTTTGTGAACGGTGAAATGGTGTTCAAACTTACGTTGCCACCATTGGTGCCATTGAGAGAAGGGGTGGGAAGGATAGAGTAGGGCACTGAGGAGTGAAGGCCCAGAGCTAAACTGAACCTGCCCCAGACTGGGCTTCCCTCCAACAGAGTTACTGTGGAGAAAGAATGGCAGAAATTCTGAAGCAGAAGCCATGGCAGTGTGAATGTTTGGGACATTTTAGAAGCCCTGCCTTCTGGTCCACAGAGCGAAGGCCATGTACCTAGCTGCTGCATCTGCATGCATCCCCCCATCCTAACACCAGAGAAGTGGTCAAGACTGTGTGGGAGCTTCCAGTCCTTGATCCATCTCCACCATCTCTCCACTCTATCCTTACAACATTCCTGAACTTTCTGAGGCTCAGAGATGGTCAGAGCTAGAAGGGCTCTTGGAGTTTTCCATTCATAATTCCAAGCTACTCAGGGGAAGACTTTCCATGGCTTTCATCGAGCCCCCTGCCAGTGAAATCTTTCTTCATGCTCTCAGAGCCAGGCTCAAACCCCACTGGTCCTACTCTCTAGGTCCCTGGAAACAGATGAAAAATAAAGCCAGTCATCCTTCCTTTGCATAGCAGTTTTTACTCTGCCCAGGTATGGTTGCCAGATAAAATATAGGATGCCAGTTAAATTGGAATTTCAGATAACCCATGAACAATGTTTGATTGTAAGTATGTCCCATGCAATATTTGGGACATACTTCTACTCAAACATTATTTGTTGTTCATCTGAAACTCAAATTGAACCAGGTTCTGTATCTTTATTTGCTAAATCTGGCAACCCTATAATCAGACCAGGATCATGTGGTCAAAGCTGTTGGCAGCCACAGCTGGGCCTCGTCTGGCACATTCAGATAGCAGACCCCATTCAGTGGTTCACGAAGTCTGAATGTCACCCTCAATTTCTCAGCTGCCCCAGAGATCAGGCTAGCCTCCAACCCCTGCACTTAACGTCTTACTCAGATTCTTCCAGCAGAGTCCCCACTGTGCTGAGGGATATTTCCTACATGCCCAGCACCCACTGCCAGCCCATCCATCTCTTCTGAAGGGAGGTACCCTGCTGGTCAATGATTTTATGTATTCTGGCTCAAGTGCCAGTTCTCGCTTTCTTTCATTTAGTAAACTAAGAATGATCAGGGGATGGGGGCCTGACTAAGAAACCAAAGCAGGACATTAGTGATGAAAGGCAAAAAAAAAAAAAAAATCAAGCATGACAGCATGAAGGTGTCATAGCAGGCCTTTTCTGACTCGGAGGACTGGAGATGGCTACCGTCCTCTGCTCTGGTGGGTAACATGTATCTTTCCTGTTTCCAAAGGACTCCTGGGATTGGGGAGCTTTCACATGGCCACTTTTCCCCAAATATTCACACTCACCTCCAACCTCATGCCACTGGTGACGGTAACAAGTGTCAAAGTCTTCCAGGAATGCTCATACAATCCTTCAGCAGACATGGAAAGGGAACAGGAGAAGCTTCTCTTGGTACATAGACCATTGCTGAGAAGGGACAGAGGGAGAAAAGGGGCTAGAACCCTAATCAAGAGCAAGATTAGGAACCTCTCTTCCAAAGGTCAGCTTCAATTTTGTATGTAGTTCTGTAGTTGTTTATTTTTAATCTGTCTTCTCCTACTTGGCTGTATGCTCCTGGAGATTAGGGGTTTCTGTTTCGTTCACTGTTACATCTTAAGTGCCTAGAACAGTGCCTGGAACATTGCAGGGCTGATAAATGGTGACTGAATGACTGATAGAATGAATGAGCAAAGTAGGTCGGCATAGGAGAAGGGTCAGGAACAAGGTTGGGGCAGCACAGAAACCAGACCTGAACAGAGCAGGAAGCTTAAGGGACAGGTGGGAGGATGAGGAGAG